TGATATTTTTTGTTTATAGCTCCAGTTTAGTTTGGTTTTAAAATATTTTAACATAGACATAATAGGTTTCAGTGATATGGAAGTCAGTGTCTTGTTGGTAGATGAGAAGCTCCAGTGAAGCATGCATGAATACAGCAAGACTAAACAAAACCTGAGACTCAAAAATGGGACAAATGTAGATTTGCATGATTCCAGTGTTGTTGTGATGGATAGGGCTGATATAAGTAGTACCTTTACTAAAATAGAGTCTAAAAAGTAGTCTACATAGCAGTATGTTCTCATCCAATAGCAAAAGAAAAATTTAAATAGTTTAAAAAAGGATCTACCATATAAGGTGTTTACAACTACCACTAATACTAATACTAATACTATTTCTAATATTAATACTAATACTAATACTAATACTAATACTACCACCACCAATAAGATGACTATTACCTTAGATTAGAGTCTTTATTGTGTTCTTTATGGAGAAATTCTTGTTGGACAAACAACGAGCACAAACCACAACAACAACAAAAAAACAACCGACAGTGCAGGCTACTACATCTACAAATACTATGAATAATACTACAACTACTCCCAAATGCAAACTTCTATGCTTTACTTATATGGTCATGCTTTGAATTATTGTCTATTATAAAACACCAGCTGCATCACTTACACTTGACTATGGTACTACTGCTAAGCCATAAGGTGACTATTATCTATCACTACTATTAATGCAACTACTACTGCTAAGCCAAAAGGTGACGACTACTACAACTACTTCCTTAAGCAAGCTTATACTGGCCATGTTTTTAATTATCATCCATTATAAATCATACAAGCAGACACATCACATTAAAATCTTGACTACTACTACAACTAATACACAAGCTGACTATTACTTATGACTACAACTAAAATGTATACTACTGTCTAAAGTCCAACCTGTACTGGCCATGTTTTGAATTATTGTCCATTATAAAGCACCAGAGGCATCACTTCTAAACAGGAAACATAACTTCGATTCCTCTCCCCCTCATTGCCCTCTCTGCCCTGTGGAGCTGTAGCTGGTTTTAATAATACCCAATCACGCTGCTTTCATTACGTCCAATCACAGGGCTTCTATGGGGGGAGGTCAGAGGTGAAAGGTCGCGGACAGGGAAGGTCGGGCCGACAGTGAGGTCTTTGAAATCCGTGAAGAGGTCGGGAAATGTAGGCTTAATCGAATCTAGACTGAGCCGCTTTGGTGTTGATCACAAACAGATGCTACATACTTCCGCTTTCTGTTAGCGTGCTTTTCCAGCTTGTTTGATCATTTGTCCAAGAATAATCATATGTAAATGGAAATATATGAGTTTTTACACACCACATTATTTCTCAGTCCACATAAAAAAACTGACTATTAAAATATTTTGCATTACTTTGGTGTCACAATTAACTAGACAGATTTATTTTGTGGCCAACTATGTGCAAAAATTTGAATGAGTTTAAACCAACTTTGATGGCTTAGTTACTACCTGACTTCTTACATTTAGTTGTGGTAAAGTAGTAGTAGTAGTAGTAGTAGTAGGACTACAACTACTTCATCCTCATCTTTTGTTCATCTCTTCAGTCTCACCTCCCTACGTTCTCTGCCCTGAGGTAATAGTCTTCTATTTTGGATTTCTTGAATAAATAACCCTTTAATGAACCGTAAAATTAGTTTAATTCCTGACAAAAACGTCTCGCCTGTGGGATCATCCGAGCGTCCTGAAAATCAAAAATCATTCAGAAGTCTTCAAGCTCCCTGTCAGAGGATAAAATATGACATTTATCTTATGATTAAATTGTTATTTTAGTGAACAGAGGCTAGCAAAAGACAGGATTTATGTCATAGGAACTATAACTGCTGAAAACACAACTGTAAGCAACAGGTCCTGCTAAACTTTAGAAGATTATAAGACTTCATATTTAGAACTTAAGTACAGCTAAAATGTTCAAGGAGCTACTGAAAAACGTAGATCACATGATTTGAAAAACTCAGCTCCAAACCATTGACAATGCTGCATTGTCAATGTAACTGTAAATGTATTTGTAATCAGCCTTTAGTATATAATTATATTTATTTATTATAAAAATGTATGAGCATGGGTGACGTAGGCTTGTGGGTTGAGAATAGGACAGAATCTTACAGCAAACATTTGAACAGGACCTGGGGAAAATGACTGAAACACGCATGGATGATGTACTCTTCAGGCATGTTTTTGATGTTGTTTGAACAATGTTATAACATAGTAGAAAGCTAATACTCCCTCTGTGAGATATTTTAGCATAATAAACATCTGAATACATGCAAGGTAAGTTTAATGCCATACTGTGGAACCTTTTCCTTTTAAAATGCCTTGACAAGCATTTGGTTCTGACATACTCCAAAGAATTAAGAATTTAAAAGTGCTTAATAACAGTTATTGCTTCATATAGACTGCACTGAAGGGCGTAGAGGATCATGGTTAATGTAGTTCCCTCTGTTGTTGTTTTTTTTTAGCAGTTTCTGTGCCATAACTATTAATTTACGTGAAAAGACTTGTAATTCACCAACTTTTGATGATGCGATATATTACTGTTACATTCTTAAAAACAATAGCATCTCCATGAAGCTAAGCAGGTAGTGGACACACCTCCTAAAAAGTTACATAGTGCATCTTTAACTGATGGAATAATAAGTATCGTGTGGACAAGTTTTCAGTGCTAAGCTAACACTAACTGCAATGATTGACGCCTGTGCAAAAGTAAAACTGAAGTGAGACAAATAAGCACTTGAAGCAGCTAATGCTAAGTGTATTTTAGCCCCTGTACTCAAAGCTAGTCTGGAGGTAGCTAGCTCATATAATTTACAAACATCTAATGCACGAGGAGCGCACACAGCTAAATGCAGCCTGTGTCAGACTGTAATTGTTGTTTAGATTTGGGCTGAAGTCTAAGAAGGAGGCTAGCAATTCGTCTGGGCAAAATAGGCAAACAAAATTATTCAATACATGACCTTTTGACTATAAGAGACTATTTTTAGATACACGGTTTTAGAAGCAAGAGCAAACTGATATAAAAGACATTTAAAACACCTTCATTCTGCTGAGAGAATAACTGAAATTGAAATCATAATATGAATGACCACAGTTACACACATTTCCAAGCCCGACAATGTATTTAAAGATGCACTATGGAACTTTGCTGGTGGCAGGCACACTCATTTGATTTCATTTATATTAAACAATGTGTAACTAAGCTTCAACTTAAATATCCTGGAGTTAGCACAGCACAACAGCTAATAGAAAGACCTACAATATGGCGGCATTAAATTTATATATCTCCATGGTGACAACAAGCAAGTCAAACCATTAAGCCAAGTTACATGTCAGATCTATGGAGAGGCGAGTTGGTTCACAGTAAGAATGCATTTTTCAAGGTATTTTTTCAGTATTAAAAACATTTGTAATTGAATAAATGCAAGATAGGTAGGGAAAATACTGTCAATATACTTTCCTATAGTCTTACAAAACTGAAAGGGCCAATGACAGACTATTCATTTTACACAGTTAAGATCATTATATTTTACTAAAAAATGTAAAAAAAAAAATTTAGGTTTTAAATTTTACTTTCTGCTCCACACAAGGGAATTCCATAACTGTAACCTAGCAACCACTGGGCCAAAACTGTTCTAATCTGCACAGAAGAAAATCCCCTTTATTTTGTTGAAATAATGTTTAAAATATTAGGGAAAATCGTATCTGTTTCTTTCATGTATAAATCATGCCAAACTTTTGGACAGAATTCTCACTAGTGTCATTGGGGTAAAACTATAATTTATATTGACAACAGGTATCATCCCTCCAAATAAAGTAAAAATTGGAGCTTCATCAAAACCTGCCATATGCACTTGAAGTAATTACAACAGTATTAGGTCATAATAGTAGAGGTAATTTTCTGTAACCTAGATTTTCTCATCAAGGCCAAAATATTTACAGCCTTTTCACAAACAGCTGTTGTGTGTGACATCTTATATAAATGTTTAGTCGTTAATCAGATGAATCATAGGGTTGTTAATTTGAAAGACAATATAATTACTCTTGTCTATGTATTGCTGCCATCACATTCATTTGTCCAACTTGGCTAATAAAATGCACTATGAACCCCATGACCTATGATCTATCTGATTAAAGGTCCTATATTATGCAAAACTGACTTGTGAGCTATATCTCAAAAACATACTTGGAGTTGTGTTTTGATTCACTCAGACATGTTTGAGTAACCCTTCACTGTTAGTATGTCTATATCTCCAAAGCAAATTCTCTGTTCCACCTCATGATGTCATGCAGTAGTAGTTTGTAAGTTAACAGTTACCTTTTACATTCAGTTCAGTGGAGATTGGCAATTCCAGGGTCAAAATCATCCAAATGATTCTAGTGATGGTGTAAGGAGTTTAAAAACACAGTAGCACTTCCTATCTGTTTTCTTCATAGTGTTTTCTGTTTGAGAGAAAAACTCAGCCTAAATATGTAAATTTTCTTTGTTAAACATTTGTGAATCAAACAAAAGACAACTCCAGGTATGTTTGTGATGACATCAAAATTATAAGACAGATCAGAAATGGAGTAATATGGGCCTTTAAACTATCTACTACTAAACTACCATTCACAGCCATTATTTTGTATATTTAGTTAGCGAGTGAGTGAACTGAAGATTTGGTATTTATTTGTAAAAAGGCAGATTAAACTTAAAAATGTCTTGATATATAAATACATTGTTTCCTAGTACTTTTTCTGCATAAATAGTTGTTTTTGCATGAACTCCTGTGCAGGTGTAGTGTTGTAAGTGCAGTTTGGGTCAGATACTGATAAAATATGTAATAGAGATCATTTGAGAGCGTTTGCCATGCCTCCTTTTTAGGCGACCAACTGAGCGGCAGGACATGTCTTTAGTCTAACCTAAAATTTCTTCGCTTGATTGAATACTATTGATTTGTGATCTGGACTCACCCGGCTGCCCTTCTCTGGGTTGCACTGACATCCTCTGCTGCAGTCTCGCCCATTGCACGGCTCGTCAGACTTCTTACCCTGCAAAACACAAAGTAAGACATGATAAGTTTACATTACATTTATATCAATAGGAAAAGTATTGAAAATCACATATTAATCATTATTAAAACTAGTATTGAAACTATATACTCATTTGAGCAGGTATCAAAACTAAGAAAGTCACATTCAAAGGACAGAAATGAATCTTTCCTTTCCTGTATAGCTTTAGAATGATCCTGAGCTGAGTACATAGACTAGTATATGCCCATGAACTTCTGTGGACACAGATATAAGACCGCATCGTAATATAAAAGCAAATACTATGACTTAATGTTGAAAATCACATTCTAGTATCTAAAAAAAATCATTGTGGTATCGGAATCGTATTGAAGTTTGAGTGTATTCCTTAGTATTGAAATCATGACAACTTCATAATCTACCATAAATTTTTCAATAACAATTCCCCAAACCAAAATTATGCAATGAATTCCCATTAAATTTTGCAAAATGTTTTCCCCACACTTGCAGGCCCAACAAAGCTCCTATAAAAACAACTCAAAAGCTTAAAAACTAGATTATTCTCTGTATCGTTTGGCTTGTACATTCCTAACATATCTACACACCATCACATCTTTTTGTACATTTAATAATCTGGCATTTGAGTGACATAAAACCTCCCAAAATTTGAAAACACACAAAGCAACAACTGAAAAAAATTACATAAAACAGTTGGAGTTTGACAGCTGCTACAATCCTTTTCAAATATCTTTTAACTCATCTGAAAACATCACATGGTTTACGCGTTTTATTATAGGAGTCATATGGAGGTTATTTAAGGTAGTATTTTTAAGGTCACGGACACAGGTCAGCACTGGTATTCCAATGTGATTAGTGAATGAAAAGCGCCTGGTAGGGGTTAGGGACAGGGGTATGGGAGGGCATCAGGGACAAAAAGTGTCTCAAAAGGGGGTACGGGGAGGTTACAGGGACAAAGGGAATTGTGGGAAAGTGCCTAGGTCAAGTTTTATGTGTTAAGAATGTTCATATGATTTAAATAGAGGCCAGAGTGGACCCCTACAGTGAGGGTCTAACAGAGCGAAGGGGCTGGATTAAATGGATGAAATCAGACGCTTGGGAACCACAAGATATAATATTTTGTTTTAAATTGTTAATCACTATGGATTAATTCCTAATTTCATAACATTCTGAAACCTATACCGATACTTTTTACATGTTGATTGCAAAGCTAACCTAAATGTACTTTTTTATTATTTTTTATGTTGTATTTTTCTTAGTGATTCTCAAATTGTATTGTTCGTGGCTGTTCCTGGTTGGTTTAGACCTGGTTTACGATTTATGGTCAAAATTCCTCAAAATGTAGTTTTTAAAGGAGTTTATTTGAATTGAAGTAATAACCACGAGAGGACAGAAAAGAAAGAAGAATTTGGATCCATTTAACTATGCCCCAAGAATCACTACTAAAAAAAATCTTCTAAAAAAGTACATTTACAGTACCATGAGTATTCTTTTCATATGCGTTTTAGCTATTTTCTAAATTGGGTCTCTGGGTCTACCTTCTCCTTGCTGGTGCCTCTTGCGCTGTGTCCTGCTTCTGTCAGTGTGATTAGAATAAACATGGAGATCAGAGGAGCAGAAATGGACCAGTGATCCCTCATGGTCCAATAAAACTCTGCAACTCTCTCATCTGACTTTAAAGTATACTTCAAATGGGGTCAAACAGGTCACTAGACTGTACTGTATTGTGATCTCAGGCCTATTGCACTGTACCCAGCTGCTACAAGTGATAGTGTTGATCTTGCAGCAGGAATTGTGAGTAAAAAAGTGTGTATCTTGTACAAATATGTCAACTTTTAGTCATGTTATAATATTGGTACCTCATCATAAACACATCTGTAGTTGTGTTTTGTTTTATTTACACATGTTTGAGTAATCCTTTATTATTGGTCTGTATTTTCAAGTTAAATGCTAAAAGCTGAAATCATCCAAATGATTGTAGTGAAGGTGTATGGAGTTTTAAAATCCATTGTTTTGATATTGTATCCTAAGATGTGTTGAGGCAGTGTCAGTCCACACCCTGAGTTTTACAGTGAAGGATGAAATGTCAAACTGTCTCGTAGGAATAATAGACCTGGTTTAAAGCATTACAGATGAGAACTGGAGCCAGACACGTGAGGGGAAACAATACAGGCCAAATACTGCAAATACAGGCACATGTGAGTAACAAGTGCAAATACATGACGTGTGTGATCCTTTTTTTTTTTTACTTGGAAAGTTAATAGGCAAACTTTGAACTTCAGTGTTGTGTTGTTAAAGAGGGGGTGTTATGCTCCTACGGGGTATTAACTGCTAAAACATAATCCTATTTAGATCACCATGTTACTCATCACAGTGAATAATTAGGATTTTTGGAATGGAAAAGGCTAGGGAGGATTAACTTTGAACATTTTTCACATTTTAAGACTACATGATAATCTACATGATAAAAATGCATTTTATCATAAAAAATAAAAAATAAAACTGATAAGGTCCTATATTACGCAACTTTACCTGAATTTTAAGCTATGTTAAGATGTCGTTACCTCATCATAAACATATCCGGAGTTGTGTTTTGTTGAGTTTGTTTGAGTAACCCTAAGCTCAAACTGCTCTGTTCCACCTTGTGATGTCATGAAGTGGTAGTTTTCAAGTTAACAGCTACCTTTTACCTTTCATTCAGAATAGAGTGTCAATTCCAGGGCTGAAAGTATCCAAATGATTCTAGTGAAGGTGTATGGAGTTTAAAACATAGAGACACATGACATCACAAGGTGGTGTCACAAGTGTTGTCTGTTTGAAAGAGTAATTCAGGGTTTGTGTGTTAAACATGTGTGAATGAAACAAAACACAATTCCAGGTATGTTTGTGATGAGGAAAAAACACTATAACGGAGATCAGAAAGGAGCATAATACGGCCCCTTTAATGTGACAAGTATTCACCATTCACAGTCAATATAGCAGCAAACTATCAATATATTTGTACTTTTACATGGTTAAACCTCAGTACATTTCAGGTATAATTATCATACATTTTTCCAGCATGCTGATTCTTGTTCTTCCAAGTAGTTTCCATGTGTCCTGTCATCCCTGCATTACTTTAGCTGTGAGCCTATTCAATGTTCTTAAATCAATCTGGCCTTAATGTTTACCCATACTTTACTGTACAAACACACATTTTGAAAGAGCTGTCTCTTGCTGCTCCGAGTGGTATTTCGAAGCGATTGGCCGGTGTCTAGGCTTGTTCCTCATTCCTATAGGCACTGATGTTATCCCCATATAGGTAGAGTCTGTGTTGTAAAGATTACCTGGACTTCAAAAGTTCATTTTAATCAGGGTTAGAATCATAGAGGTGTTCTGTTGGATGCCGAGGGGAAAAGATGGCGGCGCGTTTCATAGATTAAATGTGCGCTATGGAACTTTTCTTTCGAGGAGGTTCAGTCACAGTAGGGTTGTATTGAAAAAGTATTGAAAATCAAATACTAATCGATGCTAAAACTAAACTAAATCAAAACTAGAAACTCATTTGAGCAGGTATTGATACTAAAAAAGCTACATTCACAGGTAGCAGCTAGTATACGCCCATGGACCACAATGGAACCGACCTGGACAAGTGAAGGATTACACCACATGGTAATATAAAAGAAAGTCCTATGAATTAATGTTGAAAATCACATTCTATTTTTAATTATCATCGTTTATTATCATAGTTTGAAATTTTTGTATCATGGCGACACTACTATACAGTTGCAGTGACTATCCAAAATAGTCATATATATACATCTCTGTGTTTTAATTCAACTTGTCAGAGCAAAGCCGTGTTGGACTGGCCCGTCGCTGCCCCCTGTGGTGATCCTGTCTGAAAGTCGAGTCTTGTTTCAGGAGCTGTCTGTATGTCACAACCTTTGACCTTTTGACGCCAAACTCTGTCCCCGGGTTTAAATAATGTCTAAATAATGCCTGCCCATCTGTCAAACCAACAGTCTATATACGTCTGCTATTAACACCTTGTAGCTCAAGTTGTCAGTCAGTTAAAGGACGTATATTAAGCAAAACTGATTCATGTGAGCTTTCGGTCATGTTATAATAATGTTACCTCCTTAGAAACATACCTGGTGTGTTTTGTTTCATTCACACATGTTTGAGAAATCCTTTACCATTAGTCTGTTTACATCTTAAAGCTCAGAATGCTCAGTTCTACTTTGAGATGCCACGAAGTTTTCAAGCTTTCATGTTAAAAGCTTCTTTTATCTTTTGTTCAGGAGTGATTTCCAGTTTATTACCACATAAAACCAAAAAGTTATCATACACTCTACCAGAAAAATTACAGAGCAGTAGTAGTGGTAGTACATTTAAAAGTACCTTTAACAGAAGCAAGCGTCAGTTTTGCGTAAAAATATGATGATTAAGCTTTTTTGATGAGGAAACAACATTATGGCATAGATCAGAAAATAGCGTAATATGGGCCATATGGGAATTTGTTAATACATCCTTCAGTGCTAGCTGTCAAGAGGAACTAGATCTAAACCATATAATGTGCTCCTCCTTCTCTGATTGTACTTTAGCCAAACGAGGTAGGCCCACAGACTGTCTGTGGTGGATTACATGAAAGCATTTCCATATCTTTTGTTTTGACATTCCCTCAGTTCATCCTCTCTCCCATCTTTCATGCCCTATACCTTCTGTCTCCTGTCTCCTACTTCCCTCTTCCAACTTACAATGATCAGCCTATTTTTTAAAGGTCCTATATTGCACAGAACTGTATATATAATAATAAATAATTCTGTTACCGCATCAAAAACATAACCGGAGTTGTGTTTTGTTTCATTCACACATGTTTGAGTAACCTTCTATTATTAGTTGGTCTACATCTCCAAAGGTCAAAATGCTCTGTTCCACCATGTGATGTCATGAAGAGATAGTTTTCAAGTTAACAGCTACCTTTTACTGTTTGTCTAGTAGACATTGGTGATTCCAGGAATTAA